AAAAAAAAAAAAAAGGCATGACCCTAAGGTGGAAAGACCTTCTAGACCAATAAGCTATATACTCAGTTATGTACTAAGAGATGGTGTGAGCTCTGACCTGAAATCCAGGGTTCTTTCCATTACATGATGCACCTGAACAAAGGTTTTAATAATTAACCAGATTAGCTGGGATTTCAGAAGTAGCACCAATTTGGAGATTAGTGATCAGAGCGCCTAATTATATGTAGGTTTCACATTTCTTTAAGTCTTTCTCTAGACTGGGTATAATTAGTAATTCTAAACATGGTTTTCGGATGAATTAAGGTTTGTGTTACCAAAGGAACAGCTCTTTTTTTCACCTGCAGCTGTAGTTACCTTTGCCACGTGTTCCAGCCACCGCCCCAGGGCAATGAACACGAAGAGCATGGGAGGCGTGTCAAAGAAGGTCACAGGGCTCCTCTCAGCCTTCTCGGCAATGGCCACCACCAGGATGGCGACGGAGTAGACATAGGCGATGCTCGTGGCCAGCACGATGAGCACATCCATGTTGGCCGACCTGTGCCTCAGAGATTTGTAGGCCTGAACGTAGAAGTACCACCCACCGAGGAACTGAAAGACAAAGGAGAGGAGAGGAAAGGAGAGTGACAGCTGCAACAAGCAGGGCACAGAGTTCAGGGAGCAACCGGAGACCCAGAAGCCCCTCAGCATTACAAATACTCTAGGCCCACCCACAATTTTGACATTACTTTTTCCTCTGTCATTGACGTTTATGAAATATATTTCCTGATTTATAAGACTACTGGCCACAAAACGGATGACTAAGGGCATGGGAGGCCTTTAAAACCCAGAGTACACAACCTAAACATCCATCAAGAGGAAAACGGTGAAATACATCATGCTTCATTTATACTGTGGGCAGTGTTAGGCAGTCCCTAAAGAGGATGTGCTGGATCTACAAACCGCTGGCGTAAAAGACGTCCATAATAATAGATGAATGAAAAAGCCAGCAATAAATCAGTACATCTAGTATGATCCTATTTCAGTTAAAAAAAAAAAAAGTCTGTGTCTGTCTTACGTGAACATGTACATACACATGTAAATGTGTGTTTTCTCTATATAGATGAAAGTCTGGAAAGATACATGCCCAACGCATAATACTACTAGAATAAATAGTAATACTAGTAATAAAGTCACCCTGGGTAATGGGATTGGGCTGCAAGCAGGGTCTGGTTAGTGAAATAACCTCTTTTCTTCTTAAGACTTCAGTATGGCATAAATTGTTGATAATAAATGTACATTACATTTGTAATTAAAAAGAAAATACCGGGGCTGGCCCGGTGGCATAGTGGTTGAGTTCACGTGCTCTGCTTTGGTGGCCCAGGATTCGCGGGTTCAGATCCCAGGTGTGGACCTACACACCGCTCATTAAGCCATGCTGTGGCAGCGTCCCACATACAAAGTAGAGGAGAATTGGCACGGATGTTAGCTCAGGGAGAATCTTCCTCAAGCAAAAAGAGGAGGATTGGCAACAGATGTTAGCTCAAGGCCGATCTTCCTCACCAAAAGAAAAAGAAAAAGAAAATACAGGAAAAAACAAATTCAGCCTACAGATACTTGCCCTTCAGTAGTTCTAAACATTCTAATATTAAGTCAGGAGTTTAATTTTATATTTCAAAATATATGGGGGGCACACTTCCCACCAGAAACACAGCCAGTTCCTTAATATCACACCCAGAGTGGAAATTCCATGAGGCCTGCTGTCTTTTGTTTTGTTTTGTTTTGTTTTTATAATTTTTATTTATTTATTTTTTCCCCCAAAGCCCCAGTAGATAGTTGTATGTCATAGCTGCACATCCTTCTTAGTTGCTGTATGTGGGACACGGCCTCGGCATGGCCGGAGAAGCGGTGCATGGGTGCGCGCCCGAGATCCGAACCCGGGCCGCCAGCAGCGGAGCGCACGCACTTAACCGCTAAGCCACAGGGCCGGCCCTGCCTGTTGTCTCTTTTAAATTTTAATTTCCTCAGGACCACATTTCTGCCATTTAAGACAGGACGTTAAAGAGAAGCATGAGCTCCAGGGCGGTCCAGCTGCTGCTTCTAACAACGAAGGTAAATTAAGCTAAACAACAAGCAAACTGGAGACAAACTGTTCTTCAATCCCTGTAGCAAGGTGGTTGCTATTCCAGAGAGAATTCAACCACCTGCAGTCAACTGTGAAACTGACCGTGAAACCAGGTCCTCTTAGTCCCTTGTGTTAGAGGACACCCCCACAGCTAGTCATAAGAGGGAAAAAAGCAGCAACTGGCTGGTGTGGGTCAGGAAGGCTGCAAGAAAAAGCACCACTTAAACTAAGCTGAGGGGCTGTGTCTGGCATAAGAGGGCAGAGGGTTGCCCCTCTTTCTGATACGCACCTGGACAAAGGTACACAAGATAAAGAAGATGAGATTTAGAATGGACAGTCCTGGAATGATGTTGTGGTCCAGGACCATAGACTCATGGGGCTCATTGCTGGGTATCAACATATAGATCATTAAACCCATAACAGGGATGCCAAACAACAGGCTGCACAGGAAAGACTTCTTCCACCTGGAAAGCAACGCAGCAACATCGACATATGAGGTACTGCCTGTCACTTGGATTCTGGCTGATCCCCTCCTAAGGACTCAGTACTAAGACTTGCCTTTGTCACACGTCTGGGACAGACCGCCAAAGGCTTAAATGAAAGTAAGCCTCTCTCCCTGACACCAGCCATCAGAGGGAACATCTAAAGGTCTAATCATTGCTGCAAGGACGTTCCAGAGGTGTGGAGACCCAGCTTCTGCCCGCCTGTGGCTGACGTGTTACCTCCAATCTACAGGTGAGGCAGCTGAGGCCCGGACACTGAGAATCCAGCCCCAAAGAGGTTCAACATCTCAGTCTATGGCTGCCTACAGCTCTTTTTTCAAAATGCAATCTTAAGTAGACTCCCAAGAAAAAATTGATAAAAGCTGGGGCCGGCCCGGTGGTGTAGCGGTTAACTTTGCGCGCTCCGCTGTGGCAGCCCAGGGTTCGCAGGTTTGGATCCCGGGCGCACACCAACACACCACTTGTGAAGCCATGCTGTGGCAGCATCCCATATAAAGTAAGGAAGATGGGCACAGATGTTAGACCAGGGCCAATCTTCCTCAGCAAAAAAAAAAAAAAAAAAAAAAAGAGAAGGAATGGCAACAGATATTAGCTCAGGGCTAATCTTCCTTTCACACACAAAAATTGATAAAAGCAATATTTTATTAGTATAAACAATTATACATTCAATTTTTAAACTAACTTAAAATAGAGTTAAGCTATCTCGATGAACACACAAGTTTGAAATTGGGGCTCATGGATGACAGCTGTGGTCTCACGTTAGCTTCAGCATTCATGAAATCCCAACCAAGAGGTTGTGGAAGCCCAAGACACTTTAACCACAGTCTGAAGACCACTGGCCTGCAGGACTGAGGTCTCACATTCTCAGGCTGCCTCCCAAGGCCCTGAGAATAGGCCCCTCACTAGGTTTACAGATGCCTCTCCTGACCGTCCCTATGCTCCAGGTATGCCAACCAGAGCAAACCACACAAGGCCCTGAAGGCCCCCTGCCTCCGGGCCCCTAGAAGACCCTCACTTCCACTCCTACTCCCACTCCCTCAGCCCGACAAACTTCTCATTCTTTGCGGTTCAGATCATGTGTCCCCTGCTTGTCGGCTTCCCAGACCTCCCAGAATCCCCTTGAATCACTGCTCACCCACTCTCTCCCAGCCAGAGTATGGGCCCCTCTATGGGAGGGATGACATTCTATGCATCTCCAGCACCTGGCACAGTGCCCTGCATACAACAGTGGCGCTGTGTTTGCTGAGTGAATAAGGGAACATATGCAACAATAAATAAACCCAGGCCTCCTGCTTCCCAGGCCATTTTCTTTCCACTGGGCGATGATTCCTGTCCTGGGATCCTAGTTCTAGAACCTCTTCAAGTAAAATCTTAAAATATTGGAAAAGATAAAAATCCACACTCCCTTCCTCCCAACCTAAGGGCTGTCCAATCTATTAGCCACCAGTCATAGGTGGCTATTTGAATTAGTTAAAATTAAGTGAAATTAAAAATTCAGTGCCTCAGTGACAGTACCCGCATTTCAAGCGCTCAGTAGCTAGTGACTACCACACTGGGCAGTGCAGAAAGTTCTACTGGACAGCACCGTTTTAGAGGGTTCACACTACAAAGGTGAAGACAACCAATCCAGGTGGAAGGCCAGGTGGGAAGCCAGGGGTGGCAGGGACACCAATGAGCACAAAACGGGGCTGTCAGGCCCACAAGAGAGACACTTAGACAAGAGCTTCAGTTCATCTTGTCTGTTCTACCTACTGCTTTATTTCCGCCTTGTGGTCCAAGTGATGAGCGTTGGGGTTTCTCTGGGCTGGAGAAGCACGAAAGCCCAATTCCTTGTTATTAAAAAGAGAGGGGCGGGAAACAGGGAGGAAGGCACTTGGTTAAACACACATTGGTGGAAAGCATTTTACATCTTTTGAAACTAAAGTTAACCCAAAACTGCCTCAGAAGACTGTGCTGGTCTTTCTGCTCACAACTTCTGTACACGAATCACCCTACAAACCCTGTCAGAGGTTCAGCACCATCTATGCTTAGAAACTGTGTCAGCCCCAAGGAGGTGGCTTCAAACGGCGATTCCTGTTCCGTCTGTCGGAAGAGGCAGCAGGTTCTGCGGATAACTTCACAGGCCCCAAAGCTGATCAGAGTTGAGTTATAAACTCAGAATTTTTGAGTGAAGGAATCCAAACTATCGAGAGATCAGGTGCTTTCATTCTCTGCGTGAGGAACACTAAGGTCAGAGAGGTTAAATTCCTTGCCCAAAGCCACAGTGTTATTGGAAGAGCTAGAGCCAGCACTCAGGTCTCCAGGCTCCCAGCCCAGGCCTCTTCCCACTGGGCAGCCCTTAGTTCCTTCAGTTCTACAAGCTGGGGCCTTCACCGAGGCCAGAGAGAACGCGCCTCCATCCTGGGTTGTTTTCAGGGATCAACTCAAGCATTTCCTTTCCCGCCTCACTCCTCCTCCCTCGCTGCCTTATTTGACTTCATGACTAAATCTCTGATACCCCTTATGAAATTACACAGGAAAAGTTGACAGGAAATGTCCTGTCAGCCAGCACAATATAAAGAGTGACCCCAGAACTCTGATGCTGGGATTTTACACAGAAATTAAAAGTTATGATGCGAGAAAGAGCATCAAAGACTGTCTAAAGACAAATCCTTTTACAGCTAATACCGGCCTAATTAATAAGGGAAAAGATGCCCCAGAGATGCAACAATGGAGCCCAGACATTGGCAATGCTCCTCAAATAAGGATGAAGAGCTTGGCGGGCTGGATAAAGGCCAGCAAGGGCATTATAAATAAGAAGGGTAACTAAGACGTGTTCAAAGTACCACCCGGGACTCTCCCTAATAGCGCATCAGTCTGACTTCTTAGCCTCATCAATGCCATGTCACTACCGCTCTGTAAGATCTGTGGTGTGGTAGAAAAAGAAAGCCCACTGAGCTTGGAACTGTGAGATCTGGGTTTGAGTGGCAGTTACGAAACCTTTAACTGGGTGCCAGAGAGCAGTCACTTCTCTGGGGATCTTTCCTCACCTGGTAAAGAAGCTGCATTGTCTGCCTCTAAGACTGAGGCAGTGAATCAACAGCAGCAGCAATGTTTGCACGTCAAAGAGCTCTGCTAGGCCACACAACAGACATCTCTCTTAAAACACACAGAAACACATACACACACACACGCAATGAAGAGAAAATTGAAGACAACATTGGCCTGCTACAAGATGTCTCATTTCATAAGCAATTTCATAACTAGTAGGTCCCGCCAAACTTCACTTATCCTTACCATTGGTTGTTACGACTTAATCTTGTTCAGTTTTGACTGTCTTAACCCATTCAGATCACCACTAATGCTCACCCTCTTATGGAGTGGAACAATATAGACCTTAAAAAGGAAATGGAATGTCTGTGGACAAACCAAGGGAGGGAATAGAGGTAATGAGTGCATGAAAACTCTTCTAATTGATTTTCCAAAGGAGAAATTACTAAACTCTCCCACTATAAAGCAGACCTCGCATAGTGGTGAAATGCGGTATAATTCTTCCCAATACCAACATTCCTTTGGCCTACAGATACTTGGTACAGACATACATAATACTTAAAAATTATAATTAGGCAACTTAACCCCATGTACCAGTTATCTTGGAGATACTGATGTTTCTCATGGAATATCTGAGATTAAAACAATACTAATGTCTTTTTCCCCCATCTCTTTCTACCCATTCATTGATTTTTATCATCTGATATTTATCTAACCTCAGTTTATTTTTAAATGATTCATCCTATTTCCATGGCAAAACTTGAAGGATTTTAGGTTAGGTGACTTTCTTTTTTTTTTTTTTGCTTATATGTTCTCATTTTTCAGCAATGATTATAAATCACTGTTTTTAAAAAGGTGGGTATAATATTTTTTAATGAATGACTTACCTCAATAATTTTGACAATATCCCGCGCACCTATAATTTCAAGATCAAACTTCACGTGGGCTTTGCTGGTGGTGAGGGCCACGGAGGCGTAGGTGATGCCGTTGGTCCTCATGAGTTTGGACTCGATGTTGTGAACGCAGGAAGCACAGGTCATCCCCGTGACCTGCAGCACAGGATGACAAAATCCCACTCACCCAGGATCGAGAGGACCCTCTCAAAGGGAGCTGGGTTAATGGGCAGCCACGAGCCTTTTCCTCCTTCCACAGCACCTTCCCAAGACTCTGGACTCGCACCTCCAAATGACATGTGCACGATTTTCACCCCAAACATTCCCCCAGGGGCTTTGGGGATATAAACAGTGGTTCTTCCCAACTCAGGTACAGAAGACGTAGCCAATCACTAAACAGATGTCAACAGACCGAGGCCTGACTTCTAGCTCTGATAATGACAGGCTTTTGTAAGCCAGTCTACACACTGTCTCAGTCATGCCCCTTCTGCCACGCCACGCTGTGTGTCTTGATGCGAGAAGAGGGAGTATGAAGCGAGAGCTGCCATCCCTGTGATACGTATTAGGCAAACCAAACAACTGACTCTTCCAAGTACCGGTGGTCAGCATTTCCCAGAATACTAACTGAATACAGACTTAAAACATCTACAGAAAACGTCTGAACATGTGATGATATAACTATTGATCCTGCCTAGTTAAAAAAGAAAAATGTAATAAAAAAACATTGTTCAAAACAAGGTTTTCACCTTTTCCAATAATATTCTTGGATCCAGATTTTCCACAAAGTAGTAGTCTGAGCAGGCACAGATGTCCACACCTGCAGGGCCTGATTCAAGCTGTAATCCAATGAGTATTACACTTTGCTCCTCAACACCCATGGAGACCCGACCAGGGCAAATGGTTTGCTCCACAAAGAACACCACTTATGAGGAGCTCAAAGTGCCACTCACGTCCTCAGTACTTTTTCTTCAAACATTTACTTACTACTAACAGCAGTGATTAAACACAGTAAGGAAGTAAAAGACTCTTTTACTGTGGAAAAACAGCATTACTCATTTCTTTGTGGGTTTCTTCTAAGTCTCCCTTTATTACACAAAAAGAGCTTTGTGTAGAAGTGTTTTTGAACACACATATTCGAAATACTAGACGTAACTGTGGTTTTTGATGACTTGTTGACACGTACAGCTGGTGACAGTGGACAGACAGGAAACAATACACCCCCCACCCAACCATACTGCGAGCAGCAACCACCCTCGGCGTTCATCTCAGACTGAGTGCTTCAAGACACTGGTCACCAACTACCTTCTAGACACCCCTGTGCCTACACACAAGCCCTCTCCATCTTTGATGGCACTGGCTACCACACTGACTCATCTCCTCTAGCCTTGAGACACCTCCGGCATTCTAGCTTCCCTCTAGGCTTTATGGAGTGTGTTCATATTCAACTCCCTCAAACCAGCTCAGGACAGCTACTGTTTTCAATTCCTCTCCCTCCAACACTCCGGTGACTCACCACCTTCTTCTCCTCCTAGTACCCTGAACGCACCCAGTGTGATCCACAACTATGATTTGCTGACATAACTGACTTTCCTTCACGAAATGAACACATGGCCCAATGACAACGGCAAACAGAATATAGGAAAGATATACGCAAGATAGGGGGAGTTTATTGATCACAGCCATGGCTGCTGTCAGAACGCGTCTGCGGGTTATCAGAGGCCTGCACCCTCTAGCCCCCAGCTCTAGCCCAGTTACCGTACTTACGATCAGCTCAACGTCGCCATCTGAGCCTGCGTAGTCTTCCATTACTGCTGCCTCAAAGCCCAAGTCCTGGATGAGCTGAGCTATCTCAAGTGGCTGGATGACTTCCGGATTATACTTAACCTCTGCCTTTCCGGCCATCAAGGCAACCAGCACGGAGAGAATACCTGAAACCATCAGGCCACAGCTATAACACTCTAGGCAAGCCCTCTGGGATGACACGTTCAACATAACCTAACAAAGAAAAACGTCTGCCCCAGAAGCCTCTAGAACAGTGGTTCTCAAACTTGGCAGCACATTAGGATCACTTGGAGAGCTTTTAACAATCGCCATGCCTGGCCTTCAACCCAGGTCAATTAAATCAGAATCTCTCCGGATGGGTGCCAGGCTTCTTTTTTTTTAAAGCGCCCTGGGGGATTTAATGTATAGCCAACTGTGAGAACCACTAGAACATGCTTCTCACACTTTAATGGGCATATGAATCACCTGGGGACCTTGTTAAATACAGATTCTGGTTCAGTCAGTCTGGGGTAGGGTCTGAAGTTCTGCAGGTCGACCCAGCTCCCAGGCGATGCCCATGCTGCTAGCTAAGGGGCCACTTTCAGTCAGGCTCTAGAAGACACTGATGGGTGCATGCACCTAAAAGCAAGGCATGTAGTCTGCAGCTAGCAACCACTGTTACATAAAGGATATACTTTTTTCTCCAGACACTTTCATATAAAGAAAAAATATTTTTCAAAAGTAGTTTTCCTTACTCTTTGTCAGTTTCTAACCTCTTTTAGGAGTGAAAAGGAAACCCCACAGACTATCTTGCTAACATTATTGTGTTAGTTTAAGGAGGGGAAAAGGCTCATTCAAATAAATGAAAGGAATGACGTGCTTTAGAAAGGATGCCATAAGGGATAAAAATGAGGGATTGTTAATTTTATGAGCAGCCAGCCTATGGATGACAAAGGAACTCCTATAACACCTCAATTTGAGAACGGTCATTCTAGAGCTCCAGGAAGCTATAAAGCATAGTGAACAAGAGGCTGGAGAAAGTATCATCCTAATTTAGGGTTGATTCTAAGGGGCAAGGAGACCGAGCAGAAAGATGCATGGGGCCACTGGGGTGAGGAAAGAGAAAAAGTGATTCTGGTGGCAAGGTAGTCATGGTTAAGATATTTTTCAAAAAAAAAATTGGGACAGGATTTTTGTAGCACTTTCAGGTTTAAGAGACAGTATTGGAAATGTAGTCTGGAGGACAAAACGGGCATTTACACAACATTCTGTGGTTTACAGGGACAACAGGACAGAATATTTGAAATTGGAACTTCTCCACAAAATGCAGGCTATTTACTCATTTGATAGTAAGAGACTGATGGGATTGGACGGGAAAAATAAAGACTACTGCCAGGACAAGCTAATTGAGGAGGCTACCCATAAAATGTAGCATGACCTTGGATTTCCCACGGTTACCTTACTCAGAGATACATTTTATCTCAAACAAACTAAATACTGGTTAAAGAACAGATGCCAACTGCTGGAGAACATTGGACAACACTGAACATCTATACCTTTATATAATGAATTTGCTACCAGGTTGTGGGGGCCACTGATAAACGCAGTCAGTGAAGATTCTGAAGTGAGAAGACGGTGCCCCATTTTGCTGACTGCAGTGTCCAACAGTCTACACACAGCGTTCCCAGTTTCCCGTGGGTATAGACCTCTTACCAGCTTCTTTCTGCAGGTTTCTCTCTATGACAGACACACAGGACGCACAGGTCATGCCTGTGACCTGTAGAAAGCACTTTTGTGGTGCCACTGTTGCAGGGGCTTGCGGGGACTTTGACGAGCAGCCAGAGCTGTGGTTTTTAGGGAGCCCCCTAGCGTCAGGAGCCACTTCCTGCACAGACACAGGTGAGTCAGCCGCAGTTTGCACCATGGAATTCTCCGCAGTGTGGTTTCCAACATGGTTGCTAGAACAGTTTTCTAAAATGAAATGTCAGAAATTATTCAAATTAAAAGAACAAATTTTTTTTTTCCAGAACAGTAGGTTCAAGCCTAACAATATTCAGATGAAAGCTCTTGGGGAGGCTACAGGGAGGTTGGTGTTTCTACAGGTGTGTCTCTCCCTCCCCACAACCAGAGACAGAGGCACACAATTACAGACATATGAAAATATGCCGATACTTCAAGAATGGAATGTTCTGGTTAGATGAATGTTCTAATTAAATGATGATGATAACAATAAGAACTCACCAGGCATTCTGCTCAGCACAAGTATGAGTTCCTTTAATCCTTAAAATAGCTCTAAGTGGTAAATGCTATCATCTTCATTTTATAGATGAAGGTGTGAGTTACCAGATATTAAATAATCTGCCCCAAACCCCTCAGGTAGTAAGTAGGGAAGCTAGCTTCTAAACCAGGTCAGTTTAACCTCCAGGATCGGTCCCTTTAACCGCTGTCTCCATTCTGGTTAGCAGAGGTTCGCTCCCGCCCCATGAGAATCAAAATGACCCCAAACACCTTTATCGAGTGGTCTGCTTTTTTCTTACTGTTTGTAGAAGTCCTATACATATTCTGGACATGAATCCTTTGTTAGTTGTACACACTGCAGATATGTATCTGCTGCCAGTCTGCAATTTGCATTTCACTCTCATCTAATGGCGTCCCCTTTGATAAAAGAAATCCTTAATGGTAACGAAGTCCAATTTATGCTTAGTTATACAGGTGTATACATATGTGATAGGCATATGTATCAACCAAACCAACTTAAATGGTTAGTGCATTTTGTGCCCTACCTCAACACGGTGAAAACATTCGTGATGTGTTCTTCTAGAAGCTCTATTATTTTAATAAACTTCCACACTCAGGTCTATGAAATACTTCAAATTAACTTTTGTGTAGAGTATGAGGTGACAGTCAAGGTTAATTTCTTTCCATTTGGATATCCAATTGACCCAGTTCCATATACTAAAAAGACTACTCTTTCCCCATTGAGTTCCGGGGATTAAAGTGTGAACATATTCACAAGTTCTGGGGATAAGGGTGTGGACAGCTTTGGGGGCCATTATTCTGCCTATCACATACTATACACCTATATAACTGAGCATCAACCAGATCAAGATATAGAACATTTTCACCACTGCAGAAAGTCACACTATTTTGATGACACAAAACACTTTTAAGAGTATACAGAAAAGATAATTACATCATTTAATGATGAACTCTCGTTATTTGAAAATCCACAGCTGCAGAAGACAGAAGTTGGTATTAGCCCGCATTGACAACAGCCCATGACTTTTAAGTTTCTCTTCTGAATAAATCCCACATATTGGGATGTTTTGCTCATTTTCTGAAAAGTGCTAAAACTACTTCCACTCACTCTAAGAGTTCAGTTGATCAACACTTTTAGCACCTTCATCGAGATACTCCAGTACTCTGGCCTTACAGGACCTCCACCTTCTTGATGCAGAGACTACCACCCCACCCACCAGCACAGGTTTACTCTCTTAGACTGTGTCACTGTTCAAAATGACTTCACCCCTTTGATCTCAAACTCACAAAATCTGTTCTGCGGCCACAATCTCTTAACATTCTACCTCCCGCCCCCATCGACCCTCCTGCACCTGTCCAATCCCTCCCTATTTTCCCAGTCCACCACCTGTTTTCTAGATTCACCTGCCTTTCTAACCAAATACTGTGGTCAACAATTTCAGTAATATTTGTGCTATTACAGAGAATTTCATATCCCCTAAATAACCTACAATTTATATATTGCCATTCTCCAACATTGAGGTGTGATTCAACTAAACTCTAGACTTCCAGAGATTGCTAAAGAAAATTGAAGTAAATTAACGAAAACCCAAACAAGCCTATGCTACTGGGTCCTTTATCAATCTATGCTAATACTACATGTGGGCGTATACATTGACTCAGCTTTCTGGAAGTCTTCTTGACAATATTATCCAAAACAGTACCTCTAACTGCTTGGCACTTAGTAGAGGCACAATAAATATTTGTGATGGAATGAAATAATGTTTATACCCTATGACGCAACAATTATGCTTTCAGATATTTATCATAAGGAAATAAGTGTGTGCACAGAGATAAGCCTCAAAGATGCCCATCAGTGTTATTTACAATCACACGCACAAAAATAGATGGGAACAGTCCAATAGGAAACTAAGTTACGGTGCATCCATTGAACATGGTGTTGCAGACATATGGACGGACCTAAAAGTATGTTTATGATAAACTGTTGGGTGAAAAAGAAAATTACAAAACTATGTATAATACAAACCTATATATTTCTAAATATTAATTATACATGCTTTGGGAAAAGTCTGGAAGACCATATACGAAATGAAGTGCGCCATGTGGATTTGGGGGAAAAGCATTCCAGACAGAGGGGACAGCAAGCCTGACACAGGAATCAAAAGGGGTCAGAAAGGTAATGGGGGTGAGGGGGCTTCTAGACCACCATGAGAACTCTTCCTCTTACAAGATGGGAGCGTTTTGGAGTGTCAGTAGAGTTAACAGGATCTCTATGAATGCTGGGCTAACAGACTGTAAGGTTGAAAGGCAGGAAGCAGGGAGACCAGTTCAGAAGCTCTTCCAGGATCCAGGAGACAGATGATGGTGGCTTCGACCAGGGTGCTGGCCTGTCTGACCTTATCTCCCATTACTTATACCCAAGCTCCATCTAAGCCAGACTGCTCCCAAAACACACCTGGAGGACTCCCACCTTTGGGCCTGTGCTTCTGCCTCCTCTGTCTGGTGTGCAGTCCTGCCCTTTTCTGCCTGTTGAAATCCTATCCATTCTGAAATCCCACCCAAGACCAGCTCCAACACAACCTCCACCATCAAGTCTTTGAGAGCCCCACAAACGGATGCTCCTTATCTTCTAAATCCCAAAGGCACTTCACCTACACCTTCCTTGTTGCATTTGTTCTAACCTGCCTTGGACGATGGGTCCAAGAGGCAGGTGATGGACTGCCTCTGAGCACAGTGCCTGGGACCCAGAAGTGCTGGGATGAGGGAACATGTCCCAAAAGTGACATGACCCATGTACAAGGGTGAGAGGAACATGTTATACATGACAGATGACTTTTCCTCACACTATATTCATATATCCATTTATCATTCATTCATTCAAGAAATACTTACCATGCAAACGAGTGAAGAAATGCAAAGCTGCCTTCTAGATAAAAACCAGGTCTAAATGTATTTTTAACTGTCAAATAAGTTGACTGAAATTCAATGCCTGTCACTTGCCTATGTGCTCGCAGATGATTCCCTTCCCTCCTCTGCCCCTTTGTCACAGTGGGCTGACCCCTGCAAACCACTTTTCACAGGCTCCCCTGTCAACTGGTTAGTGATTAAATTTGGCACATGGAAGGTGACAAGTGGGAGACGATAGGAGAGAAAGAGGGAAAACCCAAAATGTCCCCATGTGTCTCCTTGGCCCCCAGGTCTCAGCCACAGCCTCTCCCCTGGTGGTGCAGTGGTACCGGCTCCCACCAGGCTACCTCAGCCCCTGGGCTCGAGAAACACCCCTCTTCCCTCAGACCCTCCTGCCTGGGGTGTGGCTTCTGCTATTCTTAATCTCTTGGGTTTCCCTCCCACTCCCTGTTTGGTGTTTCAGCTCTCTTAACACCTTTGTAAGTAGTTCCCTGGATTAAATCCCTCCACTGAGCTACCCTGTGACCCTGCTGTCACAGTCATTATTTTCTTTCTCTTTATTTCCTTCACAAATACCTAATATGTGCTGGGTGCTACTGAGTCAAAGGAGAAACAAATCACATGGTTTGAAGACTGTCCTCAAGGAGCTCCTGATCAACCCAGAATGACCAATAAAACACAAATAATGCCTTTTTAGCATTTAAGTGGCTATAAAAGAGAGTCACCAACACACTGATAGTTTATCCTAAATTAAGACTGCCAGGTAACATACAGGACGTTCAGCTAAATTTGAATTTCAGATAAACAACAAATAATTTTTTAGTATAAGTATCTTCCAAATATTGCATGGGACGTATACTAAAACATTATTCATTACCTGAAATTCAAATTTGACTAGGTATCTTAATATTTTTATTTTCTAAATCTGGTACACTAAATACCTCTTGGGCTAAACATAATTCCGGCCAATAAAAATCACTGTTCTTTTCTTTCCAGGTTTAATTAGTCAAATCTCGTTATTCTGGATCATGTAGTTCAATGCAAATTTCTTTTTACTGCCAATAACCTTATTCCACTGTTGAAAGATTTTAAACCTCACACAAATACAGCAGATGATAACTCCATACAACATTTCTTACCTTTTAAGTACAGGACTTAACTGTTCTATTATGTTTTCCAAGATTTGTTTTTAAAAAAACTCCTTCTTGAAACTTAGTACAAAAAACAAAGTACAGAATGGGGCCAAGTCCCTGCACATGACTCACCCACTCCCTTTAAGGGTGTGTGTGCAGGGAAGGATCACAATTGAGTGAACTTTTCCAGGAGACACACTTTATCTCAGTGGCTCAGGAAAGCTGATGTAGGAAACTCAAATCCAGCTGGCCCTGAGCACGCATGGCCAGTGTGCACTGCCCACGAGCTCTTCTTAGTGCTGCACCAGCCACTCCCCTGCAGCACTGAGCTCCAGCCAGAGGCTGATGTCCCCGTCCTAGTCCAGCCTGCAATTCGCACTGATGTACAGGGCCTGTATCCTGGGATCTAAACAGTTAAAACATTACTACCCACATAGCTGTCCCTCACAAAACGTCCCTCCTTATCTTCAGCCTCTCTCTCTACCACTCCCTGCCTATCTATCGCCCTCTCCCTCCTAAGGTCCCTCCCCAGCCTAAGCTACCCGGAGAGGGGGGCGGTGGTGGCGAGGTCTGCACCTCCTCATCCCAGTGCAGGTGGGGCTCCCACCTTCCCTGGGCCCTGAAGCAGCTCCTGCCAAGTCTGCCGATGGCCTCCTCCTCGTTAAACTTTAGCCTCTGCAGCTGTCGTCCTTTACTTCCAGGACTCCACTCTTTTCCTGGGTCACTCGTCTTTGAGAGCCTCCTCAAGGCGCCCCTTCCTTCCACACCAGGGCCATCACGTTCCTCCCTCTGCTCCTTTCCCTTCTCACACTCACTCTTCCTGGGTCTTCTGTCATCTCCCATGGCTCCCACCACTCAAATCTGCATTTCCAGCCCTACTCTCCCCAGAATTTAAGACTCATAAGCCAGCTGTCCTCCAGCATCCACCTCAGCCAGGGCTCATCCCAGGCTTTCCCCTTCCTCCATGGCCCACCCCCATCACACACACACTCCTTAATCTGACCCAGCTTGGTGGACCCGACCTCCTGAATGTCTTTTAAATCCATCTCTTTCTCTCCAGCCCCACGGCATTTCTCACCCAGCCTCCTAGGTGGTCTCAGCACCTCAATGCACACTGCACCCTGACACCGAATGGTGTTCTAAAATATAATCTGATCTGTGCTTCCTGATTACAATCCACTGGTCACTGCCCTCACCTTTACAAGAAAAGTCCAAATTCAGCGTGACACGCAGGCCCCATTCAAGGTGGCCCACCGAGTGTCCAGTCTCAGTCCCGCCACCTCCAAGTCCTCACACTTGGGCCACTCTGCACTCCTCTACAGCTTCCCTAGCACACTGCACTGCCTCTCAGGCCTTCAGGCTGCTGCCTGGGCCTCTGATGGCCCCAGTCACCTCCCCCTGCCCTGCCCCTCACTGGTTCCCTCCCCTTCAGCCTCCCAGAGGAGAGCTTCCTAAACCCTCAAGCTTGGCTCAGGTGCCCCTGGCCAAGGCTCATCCGGACTAGTCCCGCTGCTCTGCAGTGGTTTCCTCCTCCTCGGTCTCCCCCTCGCTACAACATAAGGTCTCAGGAGAGACCTGTCTCACTCATTCAGTGGCCCACAACTCACATAGTCCTGGTGCATGGCAGAATGCAAAAGGTGGTAAAATGATGCTGCATTTGCAGGGCTCCCATGTAAGGGAAATGAAAGAGGAAATCGGCAAGTGAATGGCCACTGGCTAGCGGGTCAATGAGGGGAGGGGGAGCAGGAACCTGCTGCCACTACCCTGGAAACTCCGTCTAGTGATGTGACATCAAGGTATGTAGGCACCTTGCTTTGGACCCCTACCCCTCTTCTCACAGCCACCAAGGGGGCAAGGGAAATCATCATTAAATCCTTTCCTTAATTCCCACTTTCAGAATGAGCTCCGGGTAATGAGACTAAGGTTCTGCTGTGTTTATTTTATTTTGTTTAGCAAAGAAATCTTCAGAGAAACGGATGATGGTTCCTGTGGAGAGAGAAGGGCCTGACGTTCCCACAGTACTCTTTTTAAAAAAGAATGTAAAATCAGAGTTCTCTTCAGAAAAGAGCCAAAAATCCAAGGAACTTATCAGCATTTTATCCCCAGCTACATGAGAGGCAAAATCTAAACACTTGGAAATTCTGTTTCTTCTATCCTGACAAACTTACTGAACGAGGAAAAGATGCAGAATTTCATCACCACAGTCAACATGTGAAGCAGTGAGTGTGGCTTACCTGTCTAATCAGGCAGGTACCGCGTAGTAAGACACAAAGGGAAAAGGAGACGACCCCAGGGTGTGCTTCAAACACATCGACTACGTACCAGAGATGACTGACGCCTCAAATCCCATGTCCTCTACAGCAGTGCGGAGTTCCTCTGGGTTAGTTACAGAAGGATCATAGAGAACTGTCCCCGTCCCTTTAGCCAAAGAGACTGATACTCGCTGTACGCCTTCCCTTTGGGAGATCAGGCCTTCGATGGACTGGACACAGGATGCACAGGCCATGCCAGCAATGGCAAGCACCACAGTACAGCATGTGCCTTGCACCTGGGTCTTCTGCAGGGGGCTGGGGGAGCGACGTGTGGAAGACCTGTTATCTGTCCCACTCCCTTCTGTGCCATCAGGAAGTGAAACTTTAAAGTTTCCAGGCGGAAGAGCCTCAATGGCCCTCCGCAGGGCCCCCGGGGAGACACGAGAAGGGTCATACTGTACTTGGGCAGTTCTGTTCTCCAAGGACACTTGAATATTTTGAATCCCCAAGAGTTGGCCTATATTTTCTTCAATATTCAGGACACAAGACTTACAATGCATTCCATCCACTCTTAGTTGCAGAGTGACTATGTGGCTCCCTTGGTGCCCCAAGGTCTCAGAGTTACTGAAATTCTGGTTAGCAGAAGCTGAAGGTTTCTTTGGGTTAGTGCTCTGTAACCGCCCAATATCGATTGGTCCCAGGCTTAACGGAGGCACTTTGCTCTTGATGACAGCTTCAAACCCCATGTCGTTTACATGGTCCCTGAGCTCTTGGGGTTGAATAAGATAAGGCTGATAAGTGATGACTGCCTCCTGGTTGCTGAGTGAGACTCTGACTCTCACTACTCCTTGCAGTTTCCCAATCTTGCCTTCTATGGAGCTGACACAGGACTGGCAGGTCATGCCCTCCACCCGCAGCTTGACCACGGCCTCCAGGGCAGTCGAGGCCCCTGAGGGCCAGGAGACGGACTTTCCTTCTGCGATGCTGGCCTCGAAGCCCATGTCTTTAATTTGACAGCAAACCTCTGGCAGGCTCACGACCGATGGCATATATTTCACAGTAGCACTGCCTTGTTCCAGGGAAACCGTAATGCTCATGATGCCTTTCAAACTGGAAATCCTGCCCTCGACAGACTTTACACACGACTGGCAAGTCATGCCCCAAATGCTGATGGTGCCGGCGGTCGTCTGAGAAGGGCATACACCGTCCAGACTATCTTCGTAGCCAATATTGTCAAAGGCGAAACTCTGCTTCATCGCTGGTTCCCAGCCATGAGCAGGCACAGAAAGTTTAGATAGGATCTAAAAGGAAAAGAAATAACATTTTTTATCCTTAAAACTAAATATTTTCTAAAATATCCCAGCTTCTCTGGCACTGAGAAAATGGAAAACAATGCCACTAGTGTCGAAACATCCAAAGAGTAAAAGAGCATAAAATGCAGGGAAAGAAAGCTATAAAGACATTATTTATCAAACGAAAGGGTTTAGATCGGTTCCTTTTAGCTCTGACATTCTGTGATTCTGAACCTAGAAGTCAACTGCCCACCTTAATGAAATGTTTTTCTTATCCCAAAGACATGGAGGTTTCTGTAGGAAAGGAGGAGAACGTGATGTGGCTTACAAGCACAGAATGAGCACAGCAGGCCTATGACAGAGGCAGAAGCACAGGTGTCCCAAGAGACCCTCCCTCACGGCTGGCTGATACCTGAAACCTCCCCACAGAACTTGGTCCTTTCAGCTCAAACTTTGGGGGTCCTGCTGCAATGCAAAATACAGAATAGGCACCACCTTAATAGGTGGTGTCCGTCTCATTCTCCTAGCAGGGGTTAACTATGGTTAACAACCACAGGGCACGTGCTCCAACTGCAGACCTCCCAGGCTCCGGGGGGTCAGACCACAACGCCTGTGAAAAAAGTCTGGAAGTATGCCCCCTGAGCCAGGGGAAATGAGCACAAAGAGCTGGGTCAAGAGGGGCACGAAGGGAAAAGGTGGAAAAACAGCAAGTTGAATTTAACAAGACTTCTCAGTTCTGCCTCTGCTGAGTGTCACTGCCCTCCTGGGTGTTAGGACAGTTGCAGTTATTACCTAAAATTACAAGCGCTTCCCCAAATCAAATGGACCATTTTCTTGATGTACCACAGTACGAGCGTAATTTCCTCATTTCTTCTCATAATAATGTGGCCTCAGTCACTCTATCAACAAGAAAATTTCCTTTTCACAGGGTCCCAGCCTCACCACTCTCTCAATTTAGATATAGTTTTTAGACCAGTGCTATTACATGCTTCAGAAATTTGGGAACAGGCCTTTATATATGGTACATGATAAAAAAGCATATCACTCTCTACACCTACACAACCTACTTGTCCTCAGATGAATCTCAATGACACAGATTGACTTTCTCTGTATCCTTGTGCATAAAACGCATATCTTTCCAACTTCAGCTGTTGAGCAGCATAACAAGATGAAAGTTTAAATAATTTTTATTTATTTAAGACCATAAATGTTCATTTGTATATCCACAAAGGAAATCATAAGCTAGTTTGGGATTAATCATTATAAATAACTTTTTTTAAGTATTCACTGTAGCATTCCTAAAATAGCAGAGAAAAAAAGGAATAATTAAATAATTTTGGGCAGCAACTCAAAAGAGTTTGTCGAATCCAATGAATATGCTGAAATTATCTATGGTACAAATACGGAAATGTAGTACATGATAATGATGACGTGGTATAACAGTATTAATGGACAATTGGGTAGCCACCTGGGAAATCCATTTGGAAACATATAAATTTGGAACCTATGTATCAAAAGACATTTCAGATAGATCAAAGATGAAGATGAAAAAAATGAAATAATAAAAATACTAGAATAAAACATAGGAGAATATCCATAATAATGTCGAGTGAGGAAAGCTTCAATACGACAAAACAAAAACAAGAAAATCCAGAAGCTATAACATAAAAGACTAACATATCTAACCATAATAAGAAAAAAAATTGCTTAAACCAAGGCAAAAGACAAATAAAAAACTGAGGGGAAAAAAGATTTGCTTCACATTAAACAAATTAAGAGCCAATTTCTTTAATGTATAAAGAGCTCCTTCAAAGAAGAACAAGGCCAACAATCCAATAGAAAAAAGAAGACAGTTCATCAAAAAGGAAATGCAAATGGCTTTCAATATATGAAAAAACAATATTAAAGAAGAAATGTAACATTCCAACCACACTACGGGGCAGTTTTCACCAGTCAGGTTGACATCCATTACCTTGTTCTCCAGAACTAGCAGCAGTGTAACCTCTCTAGGGGGCAACTTGGCAATACCTATTAAAATTACAAATTCATATACTCTTAGACCCAGCAACTCTGTTTCTAAGAATTTAGCCAATAAGTACATTTGTTTGTGTGCAAAAGGAAGCACGCAACAAAAATATTAAATGCTGCAACGGATTGGAAATGACATAAATGTCCATCAATAAGATGTTGGTTAACTAAATTATTGCACAGCCACACAATAGAGTACTATCCAGCTCTTAAAAACAATGAGACAACTCTACAGTATGTACTAAAATAGACTGATATCCAATACATCGTTCAGTGAAAAAAGTAAGGCACAGAATATATAGTGTATGTAGTATTTCAGTTATCTATTCCTGTATGACAAACCAAATCTAGTGGCTTACAACGACAGCTCACAGTTTTTCAATTTGGACAGGGCTCGGCAGGGAAACCTCGTCTCTGCTCCTCATGGCATCATCTGGAGTGGCCTGAACAGGGCTGGAGGTGCCACTTCCAAGAAGATGGTTCATTCATCACATGGTTGGCAAGTTGACACTGGCTGCTATCTGGAGGCTGTTAGACCTTGGTTTTCTTCCATGTAGCCTCTCCACATGGCTAGTTTGGGCACCTGACAGTTGGCAGTTTCTGGGTTCTGAAAGTGCGTGTCACAATAGTGAGCATTCCCAGAGAACAAGTCTCATTGTGCAAGCATTTCTCAAGCCTTCACTTGCATCATATCTGCTAATTCATCATTGGCCAAAGCTAGTCACATGGCCAAGTTCAGTCAATATGGGTGGGAATTACATACAGGCTTCAACACAAGGGTATAGTTCATTTGGAAGGGCCACCAAAATAAGTCTATAGCAGTATGCTAGATTATTTGCAGGAGAAAAATAATATTATACACACAGATGCTTGTATATGCATAGATTACCTCCAGAAGAATGCATAAGAAACCAGTGTAGAGTTTGAGGAGGACTGGGCAGTTGAAGGGATCAGGTAGCTGGGGTACAGGAGTGGGAAAAAAGAGTTACCTTTCACTGTAAAACTTATTGTACAATGCCCATGCATTACCAAATTCTGAAAACAATTTGAAAATTGAAATAACACGAGCAGAAAGGAGATCCAGAACAGTGACTTGATTGTAATTGGTATTAATTAAATACTTTTTTAATTGAAAAGAATGAAGGAAAAACTAAGATATTCAAGGACATTCACCTTATAACATCTTAGTAAGCAGAAACTGCTTCCTTATAATAAGCCGCAACCATCAATCACGTAGTCTGTTGGAAAAATAAATCCCTAATGATTTACTACCGAACTTATTTTCCTTGGTTCTAGCTTTAGCCACAACTCACCAAACCTCAAGCCATAATGCTGGCTCTTAATCCCTGGATTGTTGATTCTATCCTCCTGCCAAAAGGGCTTGCAGAAGTATTAGAAACTATTTGTAGCAAACAATACTCAGAGGCCCCCTTCTAGACAGGTAGGTTTCTAAGCACAAGCAGTTACGGAAGACGAAGCTCTGTAAATAACACAACTTCATGAAACACCAGAGTATCTGCTGGTTTAGGAGAAACCTCATAACAGTTGTCAGGTGTCTGGATAGTTTTTACGTGTACACACATGCTGTGTGTGTGTGTGTGTGTGTGTGTGTGTGCGCGCGCGTGCGCACGTGCGCACGTGCTTTTAATTCCGTTCTTCCATTAAGACAATCTTTGGGGGGGAAATCCTCCTAATGAGTTAAAAAAATATATATATGTTTAGGTTTAAGGGGTGGGGGGTTATATACTGGAAAAGTTGCACGATTGCTTGATTGCTCATCAAGCAATCACGGACACTGGAGAATGGGCCCAGGGCACAAACTGGGTATCCAGGGAAAACTCTGTAGAAGCTCTAGTTTTGTATAATTCCCACTTAATTATATACTCTTTGGGGACAAACATCTGGGACTTTTTCTGCAGGCAGGCCCAACGCCAGGCTGGGGAAGAACTTGTGCAAGCTTTTCAATTTTTAACAAACTATTTGTATGGTAGGCATCCGGATTAGAAGGGACTGGAAACACAAGAGGAGAGGGCAATTCCACAGAGGGGAATCCAAAAATGAATTTCAATTCTTTGCTACCTCTCTAGGCACCCAGGTCACATGGAATTTGCTGAGAGTCCAGGGCTTTTAAAAGAAAAGATCAGTAAAAGAATACAAGCTGTTGATTCACCACGATGGAGCCAGGAAGAGAAAACAAGATCTTCAGACAGGCCAGTCTGGTACCGGAAATTGGAAATGGGGTGGCGTGTTTTGATGAAAAGTTTCAAAACCAGACTGAAACTGAAACGCCCAGAAACAACATGTCTTGTAGAAAGTGGCTGTGATCACATATCAAAGAGCAATACCAGCCTGTGCACAATGGAAGGACCACTGGCCACTTCTGAGATCTCCTAGTTACACCTGGAGATCATCCTCAAATAGGATACCACTCACCCACTTATCCTTGAAACTTCTTTCACTTTGAAGGGTGTGCAACACCCTTAACAACTTATAAGGCAAAATGTTATACATGTATGCAACTTTTCCAGTATATAACCCCTACCCCATACAACTCTATACACCTGAATTTTCATGGAATTCCAAATACAGAGAAGTCTTGATTTTTTCATATGTACACAGACCCAATAATAACAAATAGTTAATGATTCTCAGTATTATTTTATGAGGATGGCATTTTATATCCCTAGTGCCCAAGATAATTCTATAAGTAGGTATTCTTATCACCCTTTACTGTTGAAACAGACTCAGAGGTTTATCCAAGGCCATACATCAATTTAAATAACATGAGCTGGGATTTAAATCCAGTTCAAAAGTCCAGCAGGCTTTCTATCATTTTAAAACAACTTTTAAGGTTATTTTTTCTTTTTAGCCATGTTAATTACGGGAAGAGATGACAATGCAGAAAAGCAAAATGAAGAAAACACAGAAGAACAGCCACATCCCACTTGCCACATAACAAGCAGGCTAACACCTAGGCGAGC